TGTGAAAATGTGTGACAATTTTACATGAAATTCAGTGCAACAATATTTCTGAAATCTCCTTACTGGTTTGCAAGCTGTGCAAAGGAAGCAACTATCCTGTGGTCCCAGATCCTCAGGAGCCTGAACTCCCTGGTTCATTGTGAGGTATCTGGTTTTGTTTTAGTTAATTTATTTACTTTATTAATCCCCCTGAGGGGAAATTCAATGTTTTCACTCTTGCTTGTCAATTACACACAGGTCCGAAAGACACATACATGCACAAACAGGACCTATACATGCACAAAGTGGAGAGATGTCAGAGTGAGGGGGCTGCCCTTGGTAAGGTGCCCCAAGCGGTTGGGGGGTTCGGTGCTTTGCTCGGTGCCCAGGAGGTGAACTGGCACCTCTCCAGCCACCAGTCCACGCTCCATATTTTGGTCAGGACGGGGACTCGAACAGGCGACCCTCCGGTTCCCAGCCCAAGTCCCTATGGACTGAGCCACTGCCGGTAAAGCTAATTTAAATGCAAGTATGTTTGCACCTTTGAAATGTCATATAGATTAATTTGGTTTCTGCATTATCAACCTCTTGTGAATGACCCTATGTTAAAATATAATTTTAAGACCGTCATTATTTTTAATATTGCATAGTATAGTGTAATGTTGACATCACACTCATAAATAAAGGTTTGTTTACTCCACAAACTGTCACACAGACAAACTGGTTGTATTATTCCAACAGGAATCCTCTGGGTCTCTCAGCAAATGTGAATCTGCCATATATGGTCTGTGGCATTTGTAGGTGACAACATACACAATGCTCAGAGGGTAGTATTTGGATTTGGGGGTCAAAAGGAGCAACTAACCCTAACCCTAACCCAAACAGCAAATTTAGGTCAACAGGTTAAGCCGGCCATGAACACGGCTTATCAAACATGGGTCACTTGCATAAAAAAAAGTAGGCCTACAAGTTTGAGAAACAAGCTTATGATGGGAGGTTGTTGGAAAGAGTTTTGTTTCAGCACATTTGAAACGGGGGTTTAAGGCCCCATCCGGGAAATTTTGAGCGTCTAACACTTACTTTCCTGCATTCTGAGGAGTTTTTATATGTCAGTTTTTGCCTTTCCTGCATCAATTCACAGTGGAAACTATTGTAATTTCATCAAAATAAAAGACCTCTGCTAACTTAATTTTTTTTATTGGGAGGCAGAAATGCACACATTCTAAATATTGAGGGTAATGTGTCCCCTGAGTCCCCCTGAAATCTACACCTATGATTGTTGACTTGATCTGTGTTAGGAAAGTGAAAGAGTACCACTTGCCCCTCCTTGATTACCACCACTGAAGTGCCTTTGAGCAAAGCCCCTAACCCCAAACTGCTTCAGTGGAGCTGCTCGGCAGCCTGCAGATCAGACTGTGGTGAACAGTAGAGGACTGGTGAGGACTGGCATGATTACTTGACTTAATCCTGCATAATTATAGTGTGTCGTGTAAGTGCTACTTACAGTGTTAGACGACAGTACTCCATGCATGAAATAAATGCTGAAGTCGCAATACATAACTCAGTTACATAAGCTTTTAGATGATGAAAAAACTGCCTGTGTCACACACACACAAACCATGTAGGCTATAGACCCAGCCTATACTGTATATGACTATATAAATCTGCAGCAGGACTACATATTAAACACATTGCTCATGAATCAGCTGAGTCACTGCCCTCTTAAAGGGGAAATCCACCCAAAAATAAAATGATTTCTATAATTCTGTGCCCCTCTGGGATTTCATTTGGGAATTTAAATAAGACAATTTGTTTCATGATTCACAGCTGTAAACCTTCATTAAATTAAAACTTATTTAAGTGTTTAAACAAGTAATTAGCCTATATGAGCCCACAGAGTCACAAATTCACATGACACCTGCTGACATAATCAACTAGTATCATGACACTTTTGATTTATTAATTTGATTTATTCAAAATATTTGTCCTCTTATAGATGTCTTTACAGGCCGAAATCGCTGAAACGCAGTGCCATGTAAATTTTGTTTTAGGGTGGACTTTCCTTTTATTGTTTGCATGTTTAAGCAATATTCGTCCCATGGTAAATTGAAACCAATGGCTTAGATGTACTTCTCTCCCCTCTCCAGAGAGTCTGCCTGGATCACAGCCAGAATCCTTCAGGCTGACTGGAAGGTAATTAAGTGGCAGCAGACTGGGGCATGCTGTTTCAGGCATCCGTATGAAATGATAATGGCAGGGCTGCTGCCTTAACATAAAAAAAAAATAAAATAAAATAAACAATATGAGACACATACACACAAAGAGACGCATACATAGAGCTCTCAAGAATCTTGGGCACTAGGAACCAGTGAGGTTTCACATTTCAGAAAACTGTAAACAGTAAACACTGGAAAGAAGAATAGAATACAGTGATCCTTTGTTTTTTGTTTTTTGAGGGCCTAAAATTATATTTCCGAATGGCTTGAATTTGGCCTAGCTGAGGAACACAGGGTTTATCTTGCTGAACTGAAATGTCACTCACAAGAAAAAATTATAAAGAGCGCTCCCTGTGTTTTCTTTTGAGCTTGGGAAAATGCAGTCTAGCCTGAGTGTAGCCAGCAGTAGAGTTTATACAAAATATTGCACTGCCTCTCAGGTTCTACAAATAAAAACTTGTTTTACAGGCTGCATGGCGCTGTTCTTGTGCACAACGTTTCTCATTCTAAGCATGCATATATGTATCTTTTTTACCAGCGATGTGTAATTTGTCTGAGGGTAAATTGACCCCACAGTGTCAGTCAAAAGACACTTGTCAGGTTTCATTACCCAGAATTCTGTTGTAGACACATCATCAGAGGTGGCTTACAGCAGTGGATAACCTTGAACGGACTCATTAATGTCCACTTATCAACCTTGCAGTGCTTTGTCCAAGTCATTATATTACTTAAATACAATGGGAAGGTGTCTTTGTTTTCACTGCAGTGTCACTGCAGCAAAGGAGAGCAAAGTGGGATAGTGTCGGTTATGCTCGAGCTCAGTTTAGCCACATTTGCTGTTAAAACAAAAAGATCTAAGTGGACTATTTCCTCCACCACTGCTGTACTAGTGGGATTGAGTGATGTTTTTCTCAGTTTGGGTGAATTTACCCTTTAATTTGCATCAAACTGGTGCACCCACGAATACTTTTAAGTAGCCTATGGATTTTTGCCTGTACTGGTGATGTTGAATTTTTGCTGATCAAAAGCTGGTGGTCACATTTTTCATTTTATATTTAGTTGCATGAGAAAATGTAGCCTAATGATACAGTGGTAATGAATCTTATACTAGCCCTTAAATTTACCCTTAAAGGGATAGCTCGGATTTTTGAAGTGGGGTTGTATGAGGTACTTATCCACGGTCAATATATTACCTAGAGTAGATTGCAGTCTGAAGTTTGCGGTCTGCAGTCCCCCAGTGTGGAGAAGCAGGCTGGAGTCTGACACGGAAGCTAAGAATTGTACTGCAGTGGATGGGGTCAGTAACAAAACATGTTTTAGCCACCTTAAAAAAGCCCCGCTTAAAAAAATCTATAACAGATTAAGTGTGTGCTTCACTGAGAGTATTTTTACTGCTTTTCCTTTCCATCAGACAACAGTTTCCAACGGGGAACTGAAGCCATTGTATCACTTTCTTCAAAGCCAGACTACATTGATAAAAACAGCAATTTAACCTCACTGAACACAGGAGCTGCTGGTCTACTGCTGCCGTGATCTGTTCTTTTTTCATGTGTGTTACTGTGTGATTTTGCCGTTAAGAGTGATATGTTCAGATTCACCAAAGTCACACAGTAACACAAACTATTTAATTGATCAAAGCAGCAGTAGATGAGCTCCTGAGTTCAGTGAGCCAAAATTGCTGTTTTTATCAATGGAGTCTGGTGGCTTTAAAACGTGCGTAGATGGGGAACTGAAGACATTGTAAAAGGCTGTCAAACAGAAAGGTAAAGCAATGAAAATACTCTCAATACAGCGTACACTTATGTAATGGGGTTAATTATACTGCAGTAATATGTGTGACAAGTCCAATGTACATTTGTAGTGTTGAGTATTATAATTACACAAAATTTGGTTCAGTTGTTATTACCTGACATGCTTAGGCCTCCGTACACAATTTGTGGAACGTTTGATACCCAGTTTCTGTACCCCTATGTTCACCTTTGGGGGGTACCCCACCTATAAAGAGGTGTCTCCTGTCTTACCTCTCCCCTTTTGCTGTTGTGCTCTGTGGAAGAGGTAAGCGACATTGCTCTTGTGGTAATTTCCGTGTTTTAGCAGTGTTAGGCAATGTATATAAGTTAATTTTTTGCTGACATAATCTTGTGTCGCTTAATTTGTGTAGGGGCTGGAGTGTGTGATGAAGGATTTTGTTTTGCCACTTAGAGTGCCGCAATTGAACATAACATGGCACCCTTTTGCTGTTGTGCTCCGTGGGAGAGGGGCTGGAGTTTGTGTGATTGTGTATGACAGAGGATTTCGTTTTGCCACTAGTCAGGAATAAATGGAGATCGCCTCCAAAGATATTCACCATTTAGGCTTCCTTATATCTACACAATGCAGACATCACTAGAGTCCACTGGTTACACTTGATCTGTTATAGATCTTTTTAGGTGGGACTTTTTCAGGTGGCTAAAATACGTTTTATTGCTCCAGCCTGCTTCTCCAAACTTAGGGCATGCCTACTGCTATCTACTGTATGTATTGCATTGACTATGGGTAAGTATCTCATACAACTCCACTTCAAAAAATCTGAACTATCCCTTTAATTGCATGTTTTCTTTTTTTTGGTGACTTTTTCCTATGTATTCTTCAGTGCGGTGTACTTATCATATATACAGACAACATGTGTAAGTCTATGGTTCTTGTCCTCCTGTCAGCAGGAATCTCTTGTAGCTGCAGTCAAACAGCAGAGGCGCTGTGTGAACCAGTGGATCTGAGTGACGAGATGGTCACATGTCACCAGTGTGACGAGGCAAAGCAGGAAGCACATTTTTGTACCGGCTAAACTGAGTGGAGGAGGAAAAAGTAAACATGCAACATAGACCAGCTGTGAAGCAAATGATCAGTCGTTACTGTATTTAATCAAGAGATGATCTCGGATGTCTTTTTACGCACAACTGCAAGGCGAGTAGTTTAACTTTCTCCTCGTGTCAGATAGTTTTACAGGAGCATGTTTCACCCAAACTACCAGTGTAAAGCATTTGTCAGCAAATTGATTCGTCTCCACGTCCAGTTTAATAAACGACTTGTAACAATGTCGATACCGAAGCTCTCAGAAGAAAGCTGGAAGAGAGGCAGGAGCGGCTCACAGATCAATGCAGACAGCAGAGCAGCAGACCTCAGTGAGGTGGTGACAGGCAGCACGGGGGGTGCAAACGACCACACTGGAGGAAAGTTCACAGAGGAGGAGATGGTCATCCACAGAGCCCATACAGAGGCATGTGCGGTAAGATGAGTCACTTCATATCCAATGATGTCATGGTGCTCAATCTGATGACCATGATTACGCATGATTAATTAGAGCCAGGCACATGTTTGTCTGTTAGTTGTAGTTTTGAGCTACAAAACTGCAGTGGAGAAAGTTTTCAGATCAGTTCTGTGAAAGTAGCAATACCACAATATGAAATTACTCCAAGTACAGGTCTACCATTCAATATTTTATTTTATTTTATTATTTAAGTTAAAACCTTAAGTTATATGTGTTTAAGTTTAAAGGGGAATTGCCTCCCTCAGAGTGGTAATTACAACTGCATGTAGTAAGCTATAATGCTGGGACAGCAAAGAAGCAGCATTTTAATGTTGTAGCATGTTATGTTTATGTTAAGCTGATATCTATAACAAGTTATCATATTTTACATGATGGTCATGCATATATGTAAATCTGAACGTACTATAGCTATCAAATAACTGTATTTCAGTCAAAAATTATATTTCTCTCTGACATGTTGTGGACTAAAAGTACAGCACCCAAGTAAATGTACTTAGTTTTAAACTGTTTATATTAGAGTAGCTGAGCAATTAATGAATAAAATATGAGCAAAATGACAGTAATGCATTCTGTCCTTACTGTAGTGCTGCATTGAAGATATAATACAGGTCTTTTAGCAACACAAGCTGAATCCATTTAGGGCTGCAGTGGTATACTGTAAAGCCATATTTGTGGTATGAATATTGACGGTTATCAGACTGTGCACATTTGCTTGTCTATGATATTTTAAAGAGAAAATGCAACCAGACACCTGCACATCTTCTCTCCTCCTCAACTGTCTGTCACACTTTTTACATATACTTCCATTTATAAAGTGATGTCAAATTAGCAAAAAAAAGCCCTCTGTTTTCATTCCTGTAACTGATAATTGTAGTAATAATAATAATTTTGAAATACTATACATCATAAAACTGTGATTATTTTTGAGATGGTTATCATACCCTAAAAATCTCACACCATTGCAACCCCAATTTGCCAAACCAAATTCAAACATGTCATAACACCAGCTGTAATAATTTTGGAGTTAATGCCAATAGTTAATATATTTTCTACCACATTTATCAGTGCTGCCTGTTAATGTGTGATTTATGAGGTTCTTAGTATGAAACAGGATGTCAGACATCACCACCTTGAGGTTATTGTGTTTTTTAAGACCACTATATTTACATTTACATTTCTAGTAAGTGACACGCTTCTTTAAAAAAACAGACCTAATGTCTAAATTAATTCCACAGTAGGCCAAATATCATCAGCACAGATAAAAGCAGAACAATAAACCGTTGTTTAGCTAAGCTGATATCAGTTGCCGTATGAATGTAGTATGATAATGTGCCAGCTTTGGTGCATTTTGTGGTGTAATTTAATCATTTAAAGTGAGTATAATGTTCAAAGATTTTTACTTTGATACAAAGTTGCATTCTTTCCATTCTTACCTCTCTAACTTAAGTATTCCTTTTCTGAATCATTGGGCAGAGAGGGTAGATTAGGCATCTGTGGTGCAAAAAGTAGTGTTTTAGAAAGATTTTGTGAAGAATAATAAATATAAAACAGTTTTGTTAAAATTGTACTTAGAAGCATATACACCTACCCAGTGCTTTATACACATTACCTGTCATATAGGTGTTGATGACCACTGTTTTTGTCAGATCTATCATATTCACCAAATCCTACTTGCTCTTCCATCAAACAGAGCCAGTAAGCTCCGTCGGTGGTGATGACAGTAGTGAATGGGTGTCATCTTCATGCCTTGAGGCTGATCTGTTGTAAATATTGTGCTTCTGAGTGTGGGTGAAGTTGAGGCAAGTTGGCCGCGACCTGAGGAGAGTGGTAGGGCCTGGGTGGGAAAAGCACAATACAGAGGGGGCCCAGCTATGCCAGCTTCACTATGTGCCCCTGCAATGCCATGTGAAATGACAGGTCGTGTCACCAGAGGGCCTGGGGCCTTTTTCCCTTTGTGGCCTGTCAAAGCTCACCAACTAGTGGGCTCTCAGTTTGAAACAGACTGAGAGATGACATTTTCGAACTTCCTAAGGGATGACAGAGTAGTTCAGTGTTTTCCACGTACAGAAGGTGTTTATGTGTCTGTACAAGATGAGCGATTGGTCAAAATAAAAGAATTATTGTGACAAAAAATATGTTGTTTTTTTTTACACATTCTGCAATTATGCAGTGAATATAAATTTCACTACAGTGCAACCAGTTGATTAATCATCGCAGATTCTCACCTACTGCATTTCACACAAAAGAACAGCATTAATTAATTAGTAACATCATAAGAGTTAGACTGTCTTACATCTGTTTGTATGCATAGAGGTCGTCCATTCCCTCGTCTCCTTGACCCAAAGCAATCTGTCTCTATGTATATGTTCATATTCAGTATTACGCTTGCATGTGCCTTTGTGTTTTGGTGCGTATATGTACTGTATATGGTTATGTATGCAGGGGTCACCCACCAGCATACGTGTTTGTATGTCTCACTAATTAAATAATAATATCTTCATTATGTTCAGGCAAAGAAGCAGATGTACGTCGACCCTTCCAGTGGGTACAAGGTGTTCACAGAGTATGCCCACCTTCAGAGAGGGAAATGCTGTGGCAGCGCATGCAGACATGTGAGCTCTTTGTTTTCTGTTTTTCCAGGTTGTGTGTTTCTCATCTGGCCTCAGCTGTTTTGTTTCGTCTCTTGTCATGTCTTCTTCTGTTCTTTTTTCTTATGGACCCTGTTTCCCAATAATGATTTACCTCAGTTGTGAACTTGACAAATGCTCTGCATTGTTTTATGCCCAAAACATCACATAAAAATAAATTTGACTGTTAAGAGCAATTAGTTTAATTACATAGCGGGGCTAATTTTACTGTGTATTTTTCATTTCTTTACAACACAAATGCTTATATATCATTTCACTTAGTATGACAATTTACCTTAACGTTCAGTCAACATTCTGAGCTCCCAGTCTGCTGCAGTTTATATGATACATTACTTGTTTGAAGTGTAAGAAAGTAAACTGTAAAGTAATTTGCCTGCTGCTGAAGGCAGATGTTGCCCGTAAGAACAAATTAAGAAATAGCTTCAAATCTAGAAGTGATGATTCTTAGGGTTCCTTAGGAATGAGAGCAGCATCATCTATCTATGCTTGTAGTCAGGCTGTTGTCAAATAAACCTCCTGTATAAGAGCTGTGTTAATGAAACTGTAAAAAAGGTGCCTGATATCAGACAGCTTAGTCAACTCCTTACTCTGTTTCCATCTTCAGTCTGACTTCGCATCCACTCTAACCGATCTTTGTGGGGGAGGAGGATTTGATTTCTCTTAACCAATCACTAGAGACCAACAAATCTGCCTGAATCTAAAGTCATTAAAAGTCAACACTGATTCTTAGCCATGCCAATATATTTTTTGAATATTGACTCAAAGTACGATGTCGGGTGATATTGAGAAGACATGTCAATGTAGAGCAGCTTCTATAGCAGAGTATCTTATTATTAGCAGCCACCATTGTTGTTATTACTCCCTATTGGCTCCTGACAACAGCTTGACAATTGCAATGGACCCCCCACGGCACTCATTGGATAATTTTTTATGTTTACTGAGAAACTACTGTCGCCTGTCATGATGCCATTAATCGATCAACTTTGTGGAGTGGGTGGATTTTCAAGGTCTGGACCAGGCAACATATTGTCAATTTTATAACAAACTCTCTAACACAGTAACAGATAGTGCCAAAACAAATAGAAAGCAACAATGTTGAAGGTGAAAAAATCAAATTAAGTGTCATGTTGGTCAGATGATGGCCAAAGATAGTGTTAAAAGAAGTTTAGGTAAAAGTCCAGCTTGTTTACTCAAAGGGACAGTTCACACCCAAATCAAAAATATATTTTGTTCCTCTTACCTGTAGTGCTATTTATTAATCTAGATTGTTTTGACATGAGTTGTCGAGTGTTAGATATTTGCCGTAGAGTAGGGGTGTACAAAAATATTGATAACCCTTATTAGCCCAATATTATGTTCTGTGATACTGTATCGATTCTCAAAAACACTATTGATTTTGACTTAATAGTTTACATGCAAAGATTTGTGGTATTGGTTAATTTTTTTTGTTGTGTAGCAGTGTTGTAAACCATTTTCAGCCATATGACTCTTCACTCCAGTGTAACAAAATTTCGCTGAAGTAAACACAAAGAACAAGGACCTATGAAACAGGTAGAGACATTAAAGGTGCACCACTAGCTCCTAAAATTGGATTGTTTAAAAAGTCACAATGCATCCCCTTTCTTATAGTATCGCAATATATTGAATTGAAACCATTCTGTCATGATAAGTACTGTATTGCCAGGTTCTTGCCAACACATAGCCCCTCGGTAAAGATGTCTGTCTTCTCTCTAATATAATGGAACTAGGTGGCATTCAGCTTGTGGTGCTCAAAGTGCCAACAAAGTACATTTGAAAAGCTAAACAGCAATGTCTCTTTCCAGAAATCGTTACTCAAGATAATCCACAGACCTTGTTGTGAGCAGTTTCATGTAGGAACTATTTTCTTTCTACCGAACTACACCCACTAACCATAACACCATGCAGAAGGAAGCGTACATCTACTACTGTATCACCTAGCACTACTGAGCTAGTTAATGTTACAGTTCAGCGTAGATAGTAGTAGTTAGAGATGTACTGATACCACTTTTTCCTTCCCGCTCTGATTCCAATCCCTGAACCGTAGGTATCTGCCGATACAGAGTACCGATCCGATACCAGCGCGCAAAATAAAAATGGATGGGATATGAATTGTTGTATGTCTCAACTCCTAAAACTCTAATATTAAGAAATAAATACATAATAGTAGAATTAATGCCATAAAACTTTTTTTTTATTATTATTATCCAGTGTTGACACAGATCAAGACACAGGTTAAAGTGCAGCCACACAATTTGGTAAAAAAAGATATTTTAAAGGCTACAGTAGAATGCTTTTTAAACTCCACTCCATTTCGTTTGCCTGTAGCATGTGTATGAATGACATGAGGCATCACGTGGTATCAGATTGGTCATAGGCTGTACTCGCCGATACCTGATACAGCATTTTAGGCAGTATTGGAGGCATTTCCGATACTGGTATCGGTATCGGTACAACTCTAGTAGTAGTAGATGCACGCTTCCTTCTGTGTGGTAATGTAGTTTGCAGGTGTAGTTAGGTATAAGAAAATAGTTCCTTCACGAAACTGCTTACAACAAGGTCTGTGGATTATCTTGAGTAACCGGGTCAGGATTTCTAAAAGAGACATTGCTGTTGAGTTTTTCAAATGTATTTTTTTGGCACTTTGCGCACCACAATTGCCATCTAGTTCCATTATTTTTGAGAGAAGGCAGACATCTCTACAGCTGATATCTCCAACACTTGGCAACGCATACCAAAATTATCCAGATGGATAAATCGCACTACAGGTAAGAGGAGGGATATGAATTTTTGATTTTGGGGTGAACTGTCCCTTTAAAGGGCACACCATCAAATCAGGGTAAAATCAAATTAGAGGATCAGCTTGATAATAAACTCCAGTAGACAACTATCTGTGGTGATGACACGCTTACATGATTTAGAAGAGGAGGATGGTGACAGATCAGCTGATGTGACCCAGACAAGAGCTGCACAGTGTGGCCTGCTTGGTGCACGTCAACTTTTATTCGTGGAAACAAAGTCATTTTTCCTCCTGTGGTTTTAGTTTTGCAGATATCACTGATTAACCCATGAAGGTCCACAATCTGAATTTGTTTTTTGCCTGTTTTATGAGCATTATTTATGTTGAACCAAACACCACATTTATTCACAGAGAGATTTACTGGTTTAAAGTTTACTGGTTATGATATTGGCTTAAGGATCAATAGAATAAAAAAGCAGCACATAGTTCACAGTTAGTCCTTCAGGTGTTCAGACTTTGTGAGACGCTTCTAACCTTTTACAAGTTGACAGGAATCGATCTTTAGTTTTCATGTCTTTATCAGCAGCTGGTTTTGTAAACAGCCTGTGAATGGAAGTAGATGCACTGATGGAGGGTGTGTTTTCTGATCATAGTATAGCCTCAAAATACTTTAGGAAGCAGGGCCCTGTTGTACTCACTTCACTTCTCACTTTTGCTTTGTCTAGTCCACATTCTGTCCCATCACTCCCTGTCCCATGCCATCCAGTCTTGTCTTCTGTCTTGCTGTGTGGTTCAGGTCTGATTTGATTCGGCCTCATCCTGTTCTCTTTTTTTAGGCTGTAAGCTCACACGTCCACATCTTGTTCTCTGTGCCACTGAAGTCCTGCTCACATGTAGCCATTAACACCTTCTCATTCTTTCATTTTCTCCTCCAGTGTCCGTACGGCCAAGTCAACGTGAAGGACCCTGCGATGAAGAAACAATTTAATTCTCTATTTTACGTATAGGCCCAACATGACGGAGGTAAAACGCCTGCTCAGGATGGAACCCAGAGCACGTTGCTTGTCTTCTGCCTGTCGTTATTTGGACTACTTGAGAGTCATTTTTAGCAGTGTACCAAGTGATGAAATATGGGTAGTGTCTGTGCAATATCTACCTCCTGTGAATCACAACTATTCTCAGGATTATTTTTATTCTCACAGGACAGGGGAGGAGGAGAAAGGATTTGTTCACTAGAACCTCATGTAAAGTAGTCTTTTATCACATTTTTTGTTTTGCTATATTTTTCAGATATTTTTCTCGAATGTCCAATGAAATGCCTTGAGCTTCATTTTTTCGTTTCTCTTTAAGAGTATTTAATATTTTGTGGTGTTCGGCTCCTCTGATACATTTACAAGGGTTGTGGGAGTATGGAGATGAAAACCGAAAGAGCATTTTAGATCTTCGCCCTCAAGATAAAGGGCATATAAGCGAATGGAGCTGAAGCTAGTCAGATGGAGTCTTGTGCTCTTTCGCTTTGCATCTCTTGTTATTTTTCCTCCCAAATGTACGACTGCATGAATATTAGCATCATTTACACTCCACAAGTGCTCGACTGAACTGTCTACCTTTGACTGAAACGCTGTGTTGTTAAAAATAGGCAGGGGCCAAGGGTCAGCCCTCACACTTGGCTGCGCTGCTTTTACACCACTTGATGGAATCAGGCTGTTAACAAACATGCCATGGACATCAACAGCAGCCCTCCCCACCGGACTCGCAGCTCAGCCTCCTGGCAACACTTGGCTACAGCACAGCTCCCTGCGGCTGCTCTCCTGAGCTGCAGCCTAATGAACTCCTGGGCCCTCTTATCCCAGCACTGCAATAGATCAGCTCATGTTCACGAGCATGCTTAGACGCACACATGCATAGGCAGGCTTACTCCATCAGAACACCCTGTGGCTCCTAATAGGCCAATATAGAATAAAGGTTGCACTAAACACCGTACTCTGTAGCCCACAGTAATAGTACAAGGTGAGGTCAAGCGCTCATGCAGCACTACCTGTGCGTGCAAGAGATGCTGAGGAAAGATGTGCCACTTGATTTGTGAGTGCATGTGGGTAGGCAGCGCGATGCCTCCGGGCGCTGGCTCTGAACCTGCCACACACACTCGCCTGTCTCCGCCTGATTGGGCAAACAGCGTCGGGATGAGAGGATGTGTCTGCCGCGGAAATTCTGTCGCAGACGCCTACTGGCGCGGCCACAATTTCCCCTCGGCAGGTGGGTCCCAAAGGCAAGTGCTTAGTGATCGGAGGCAAAGCCCTGTGAGCGGCTACAAGGAGATTCATGATCCCAACAGTGCTGGGGAGGACAGGTTCTCGGGGACGCGTCGTCAGGCGGGATGAGAGGCGAATTTATTTGGTGTTATTCTAAACCGAGGCAGCGGAGCGTGCGGCAGCAACATTTCTACAGCGGGACGGTGAAGGTGTCACACTCATCAAGTACCTGGGCCCGCTTGCCTGCCGCGGCTCTGCGGGTTTTGCCTGGGGGACTCGTCTGTCACATTAAAGTAGATGCATTGCCATTCAGGGCCTCGGCGGTCCCGCAGCCTGACCATGAAATAGGCCAACTTTCATGTCTGCCTCATCCCTCCACGTCTTCCCAATCCAGTGATGGCACAGTTTGAAATGTTTTCCTTTTATACATATATATATATATATATATATATATATATATCATGTTCTAGCCTAGCAGTTGGTGACTGAGACACAAACAGCACAGCAATGCCTTCAACAGATTTATGGAGAAATTTACTTGAAAATCAAATCTGCCTTCTCCCACCATGGTCACTCATCATTAAAGTATGTTTAGCAACAGTAAGCCTTGTCTTAGGTTTCTGTGAGTTGTGCCATTTTAAATGCATGATTGAATGTGTTGTGTACTTGCACAGTCAGAGAGCATTTAGGAGTCTGATCATCAGTTGTGAAATTGTTTAAAATACCTTGTTTTTAATTAATGTAGCTCACTTTAGTTGACAACTTCATAATATTAATGCCATTATTCACTGTCTTATTAAATGACCTTATTTATTAGTTAGTTAATTTTGTTTATTTTTGATCAATAAGGCCAGTATGATAAAAACTGAAGATATATTAAGTTTTATTTCTTAGTACGAGCTGATATACTCACACACACACACACACACACACACACACACACACACACGCAGTGGTATTCCCTCTGTGCAGATGTGTTCCAAAGTTACAACAGCCGACCTGACATGTGAGGTGTTTATTTCAGGCATTTTGGACTGAACATCTCTGACCTTCAGCCGGAGCATATGCTGTGCTGGAGCAGAGTGGCAGCTATATACCGTGTGCCTTTCTACAGGACGATGACACTAGCCGCAGAGAAAAAGAGAGCTGTCCAGTTTGGAACTGTGACCAGACAGGCTCTAGTCACAACCAGTTGACAGGCCAAGCAGCCCCCCTCTCCCCTTCCTCCTCCCTCCACCTCCCCCCCCTCTCCATCTCAAACAGGCACAGCAGCCCTGCGGCCAATGGCCCCAACCACAGTCAGTTACAGTGTCTCCATCACTGTTGGCCAGACCGGCCAGGAACTGACATGGGGTTGGCGGCGGAAAAAAAAACTTGAGTGTCAGCCGTATGATGGCTGAAAGGAACATCAGTCTCAGCAATTGGCCAGGCACTGCTTTGGACGTTTGTGTGTGTGTGAACGCACGTGCACGTGAGTCTTGATATTCAAGCAGCATTTGAGCAGCCCCTACATCAACGTCTGGTCGTTCTACACAGACAATGTCAGCTCGCCTCGGGGCAGCAGCCTCCACAGTGGTCATATGGACAACCAGATCCCTGTGGTAGAATTAGTGATAAAAAACACACATGGCCACTGAGTGACAGTCAGCGCACCAGATTCCTTTGGACAGACAGGGCTGCAAATAGCACAGAGGAGCAGTTTCTCCCTCAGACCGCAACTGGTGGTCAGGCTCATGCCAGGCCAAGTCGTGGCCGCCAGATGAGCCCAGATAAAAGGAGAGTCAGGGGCAGTAGCAGGCACCTAAGAGCCTAAGGAGCACTTTGGCCTGTTTATTCCCCTCCTTGTTTTACATCAATGCACTTCTTCCTGTGATTTCTTGTCTACGCTGACAAGACAACTGATGTAACTGCCTCTGTTTTTTTTGGCTTTTACACTATCTAACCTCCAACTTGAGTTCCCCTTTGACTCTGTCTTCAATGAATGGTTGAAGCAGGAAGAAAGGGAGCGTCTGACAATGTAACAAAATATACAAGCATCATCTAAACGAGTGCGACTCCTCCAAAAAGACGCTCTGCTCCATAAGGTTATATAGCGATAAAGAACATCCGTCTATTATGTTTCCATGTCCTTTCTAGTGTGGCCAGATATGGACTAATACGCGCACCATTCCCCAGGAGGATACTCTGTCCCCAGAGGAGATGGGGGGGGGGGGGGGGGGGGGGGGGGGGGGGGGGGGCGGCAGTGTGCTGTTGGAGCTGTTCTGGAGGCAGGGAGGGGAGGCAGGCAGCAGTTGGTGTGCAGAGAGCAGAGGCTCAGGCTGGCTAGTTAAGAGCTTCTCTCTCCTATCCTCCATCTGCCAGGGACCGGGGTTGTGATTTGAGCTCCAGCAGAGCAGAGCAGGGAGGAGATCGAAGGAGGGGTGGAGGGAGGTAGGGGATGGGGGTGGTGGTGGTGGTGGTGGTGGTGGTGAGAGGTAGTGAGGGGGTGAAGGGGAGGGGGAGCGTTGGTTGGTTGGTTGGAAGAGACAGAAAAGAGAAAGTGGAAGAAGCGGGGAGTTGGAGGAGGAGAGGGGAAAAAGTGAGGGAGAGAAGACCTGGAGAGAGAAAATAAGGATGGAAATGAAAAACAGGATACGTGGGGATTGAGACGCCTCAAAAAATCTATTTATAGGCTTATTCTTGTCAATCATTATTATTCTAAATCACTGTTGGACATTTTAATTTGAGGCATCGGCTATAAAGAACAGTGCTTTGGTCATATTTCAGCCATGCTTGTGTATTTTGATATTTCCTCTCCTCCAATAATTATGAAGCCATGTCCACTGTGTGTTTGTAAATATTTCCAGGATGTCTCACACCCTCCTCTCACCCACCCACCCCGGCTCATGTGACTGGGATACATGTGACTGGGATACAGCTTTACAGTGCTTCACTCCTCCCTCTGTTCCTCCTCCTCAGAACCCCCCTCTCCCTTCCCTTCCCACTCCTCTCCTTCATTCTGTCAGTGTTTAGCCTGTGGTTCCCTGCACCACAGTGGATCCTGGGAGAGCCTTCCCCACCTCCTCCTCCTTCCTCGCCTCCTCCTTTGCCTCTCCTCACCTCCTCCGCTCCTTGCTTTGGGAGTGACTGAGAGCTCCCTCCGTGAGACTGAGTGTCACTTGAGGTGACCCAGAAATGATGACTCCAGATGAACCCTGGATGTGTGGTAATCTAACCACCATGCCCAAGGAGCCAGGCAGCCAGGCAGGCATCCCGGGGTTGATGCTGTGTCTGTGGTCTCACTGTTGAACCAAAGCACGCTGCAGAGCCTGTCTGGGTATCATGCTCGGAGAACGCTGTGTGCATGGTACGTGTTGTGGTACACAGTGAAATGGATCTCAGTGCCGTTGCATTATTGATGAGATACATTGTGATGTCAGCCCAGGCGGAAGGAGCAAAGCAAAATGACTGTTAGCAGTATGGCACGGTGTCATTTATGCAAGCAGCACAGAGGTGTAATTAATTGTCACCCTTTGCTCTGGAGCATTCACAAAATACGAACCCTCTGTTCACTTGTTGTCAGCTGAAATCAGTCCATCTACACCTCAGTGTGTTTTCCAAGTGGCCACTGTGAGCAGGTTTAGGACATCCTGTCTTCTGGATGACCTATCTCTGTCACATTCACAGTAAATGTGAAATTAATTTGGAGGCATCATGCACTTTAAACAATTTTGCATCCTGTTATCAGTGTTATTATTATTTAACAGCTTGTTGTCAGGTGAATAATAATCCAATAACGTACAAGAAAATTACACCAAATAACGACAAAAGGGACACAATATTAAGATAATGACTATTGAATATTGAAATTGAGAAAAATATAGTTCATTACTGGTCAGGCACAATCAAACCATCTTCAAAGCATAAACAATATTAATATTTACTCCAAACTTGACATTATTAAACAGTGGTGAATTTTTCATCAACAACATTTCTTTATTCATTAGATGTTGCAACATGAAGCCAAATGTGTGCAGAATGGTTGCTGGCTAAATACACTCCAAACTGCACTGCATTTATATGAGCTTTATCAGCTGGATCCTCCAGGTGAGACACATGGAGACACGCACATCACAGCTCAGGGGGAACGAAATAATGAGCCCAAGAATTATTTTTTTTAAATCATTTTTTGCAGGATTTATTTAATGTAACAGTGGAGAAATAGACAAGAGATTAGACGTGTGTAAAATATGCGTTTAAATTATTCTTGGATAGCCTTTTTTTTAATGTCTGTGCTGTTTTGATGACGTTGAAATAGACAAAAATCTTACTGGCACACCACTGCTGGGGTTAGATTATTGTCACATATGAAAATGCGTAAAATACAGAAATTATTTAACACTTTTACCCCGAAATAAATTTCGATTTGGCATCCACACCAAACCCTTTTTTCCAGCAGGCTTTGTGTTGTTGTACTCCATATCTTTGTCACACTGATTGATTTAGTTTGACTATAGATCTAATTATTTATTCACACAAACCTCTGCTCTCACACCAGTGAAATTAGAGCTGTAACCGCACTCACTTGAATCTCATACAATATGAACTCGGAAGTGATGCAACAATATGTGCCTAAACGCTCCAATAACTTAATGCGTAAAACTGTCGCTGGGGGTTAAAATGAAACTTTAGGATGTGAGTTATTAAATGATAGTTGGAAAATGAACGGCGTTTATAGGGGTAAAAGCATCTGATTTAATTGGAATATTCCTAAATGTTGCTGTGTGTAATGGTAGTTATTTATTTGGCGATCACCGACTCCAGATTATGTAGTTTATTCTGTAATTTATCCATCACACATTCTAACCTACATGCTGAGTAGGCCATTGGCTCATGGCTGCCTATTTTCTGTGCGTTCACTGTGAGTGTGCTGTGCAGTGCTGTGCAGTGTTGAGGGCTGCCTGCATACGGGAGAGGAATATTTAAATGTCTTGTGTTTTAATTGACGCTCGAACTCGAACTGTAAGCTCAGAAACGAGGAACAGCCCCCATCTACCGGCAGCGTCTCCTCTGTCTCCTCTGCACAGTGCGCACAGTCCGGAGCTCCTCAGCTTGCACGCTGCACAGGGATCTCACACACAGCACAGCCGCAGGTAAGGCTATTTTATTTTTCTATATGTATGCTTGGGGAAAAAAATAATATAAGGTTGGATTTTTTATGCAAGCGTGTGAAGCAATGCGCGACAGATCTGATGCATGATAAATACAGTGGCATGGTTGGGGAATATTCGGGATAAACAGGGATGTGGTGGCGCGTAAACACATCAAAACTCTCTCTGCTTATATTTTTATTTACGTAGTGTTGTAATATTTTTTTTTTTTTTACCTTCACAATAATCTTAATTATGCGAATACACAGCCTAACACAGGCGTTTGTGAGTGCAATCAAAACCATGCAAGATGAACACCAGGGGAATATAAAATGACGCTTTTCTTAAAACATACTTAAAACAAGTACTTTTGTTTGCATTATTCGCTGAGATATGAAATTATATTTTGCTTATTTATATGAGAAAAGTCAGTGACCCACTGAGCCACCCTGGGCTTACACGCCATTTTAAACATGTTTGTTAACACTGTTTAGTATTTAACTTTCAAAACGCGTCAAAGCTTTGAGATGGAGCTCAATGCAGAGCAGGACCGAGCAGCCATTATGATGTGTTTTTAAAAGACTTAATTTAGCCGAGCAGGATCAGAAATATTAAATTAGGGCACATCATTCTCAGTAAGCAAACGAAAAAATGACACAGAACCGCCCACATTAATTTGCTTCAATTTATTTAACACCAGTAATGAAATATGATGGGTAACATACATAATTAGGTTGGTTAATTAATAGGGTGTATTAAGAAAACGTTTCGAAATGGAAATTGTGATGTATAAATACAGTAAATGTCACTTTTTGTTTTTTTAAAAGGCGTTATTTTGTGAATCATCTCTGTAGACTTTCTCCAAATATGAACCAAAATCATAAAACAACACCAAACAAAAAAAAAGGGTCATTAGTGTGTATTTAGTCGCAGGTAATATCCTTAATTAGATGCAATGAAAAGGGAACAAAACAAAACGAAAAACACAAAAGACATGATTCCCTCATGCCTCTTGGTGTTTACTGACACATTGTTAAACCCTCTTCAGTCAAATGAAATGTCACTGCTGGAGGCAACGGGTCAAAACACCGCTCTTTGTCCACATTAACGATATCATCGATGTCTTATTTTTAAAAAAAAAAAAATAACACCATGCACATACTGTATTTGTGTTTTACTGTGTGGTTAAGTCCAGTTTTTAAATCACAAGTCGCCTTTTTTGAATTTCCGGGAAGAGGGAAGGAAAAAAAATCAGCAGACAGATTAAATATCACACAGAGCTGAGTTGATCGGTCCTCTCAGGGTGTCTTTGTCCAGGTGAAATGAAATCCGTGTGTCCTTTTTGGGTCTCTTTTCACCGCTCGGTGGCTCGGTGCTGAGACTCTGACAGTGCGCAAATTAACGTGACGCTTTGCAGAACAGCTGCAGGTCCAGCCCGTCCATGAGGGTCCAAGCCTTGTCTTATAGCGCTGTTATCAAGGGGCCTCCAATTAAAGCCAACACAACTTCATGGTGGGGGGGTGGTAGGGAGAAGGGAGGGAGGATGGAGAGGAGGAGGAGGAGGAGGAGGAGGCTGAGGGGGGTGTACTGCACATGATAATGTAACACGTCTTGAGATGAAGCATCCACACCTGCAAACCCCCCAGAGCCTCGGTAAATCTATTAATGGGACCAGAGCCGAGCCACAAGACTCCAGCCGAGCCAGTGTGTCTATATGGCACAAAAAAAAAAAAAAATCTCCAGCCATCGACCTTGCACAGACCAGAGCTCGTTATCCGGCTTTCAGCTGTAAAGGCTCGTGTTGTGTTAGTCAAAATACAGACCTTGAGCTGCCTCGTTTTGGTTTGTTGTCACCATATTTGGCCCGTGCGTTGGACAGTTAAACCATTCAGGCTTATTTGCGTAACAGAGTTTTCACACCCTTTAAAACTGACACGCACATCTTTATTGTAGCTTCCATGGATTATATTAACATACAGGGAACGTGGATTTCTGAAAATAATCCAACAACTGCTGGTGATTTCCCTCCTTATGTATCTGCTTGTTGCATATAAGATAAATAAAATATGTTTCTAGCTGCGATCGAGTCAACTCTCCTGCAGCTTTACAAGAATTTTGGCCTAATTCAAGAGACGGAGAAAAGACAAGGGGCGTGTTAATAGATGCTCGGCAGGGAATAAATCCTGCTTCAGATGAGCATTTAATGGAGGAAAAAAAAGATCTTGCACTGAAAAGATTGTATATATGTTTTAAAAAGCTGCCTCATGGCCTCATCATATTATCTATAGAGATGAAGAAAAATAGATAAACAAGCTGGTGTGTGATGGTGTGATGTGAGTAAATAGGATGTAACGGCGTAGGATGCTTTTATTTTTAAACCAAATCTCATTCAGTTGTGTTAAAAAAAATCCTTGTCTTCCAAATTGTTTAATACAATCTGTCCCCGCCCTCTAGCCTATCACTGATCACTGCCCCGCCCCAAACAATACATTTATGACACACACACGCGCACACACACGCACGCTCTGAGCCTATTATGTTATTTTTAAACAACCAAACACTTGATAAACAGTGAATTAAACCTCCAAATCTGAAGTTTTGAAAATGCAGAAGCTCAAAATTAAACAAATTAAAATGTCTTCATGTAAGAAAATCAGTCATCCTTATTTCTGACCCTTATAATAAAACCCCAGAGGAGTTTATTATACTTTAGGTGGTTATTACTTCTTTAAGACGTGCTAAATAAATAAAATATTTGCACTCAATTTACCCCATAAGCCCATTTCAGCTTTATGCAACTTCTGACTACACTCCAGCATCCTCTCCTGCAAATGGGGGTATAAAAGTAATGAAAATGTCAGTACCATAAAGTAGTGGTCCTTCGCGCAGCCAGAACCGGGAGTTTTTGAGGGAAGAGTGACAGCTCTTTGTTGCTGAATAGAAATCAGCGGCGATGGAGAGAGAGAGAGGGATTGAGGGAGAGACACCGAGCGAGAGAGAGAGAGAGGCAGAGAGAGAGAGGGGAACTCCTCCTACCAAATTATTCAGACTGGGCAGGCTTTGCTCTCTTCACAAATAGGACACGGTGCTCAAATCCAGGCAGTCCCAACCTGACCTCCAAGCACCAAGGAACCCCTGACTGGGATATCGGGAGAGAGAGAGAGAGAGAGAGAGAGAGAGAGAGAAATCACCAAAAAGAAACAACAACAGAAAAAAAAAACTTTGTGTCATTATTTTTGGCGAGTGTTCACACTGTAGCCCCCTCCCCTCCTCCCTCCCCAACACCACCACCACCACTTCCACACCGGTTTGTCGCGTCATTTGGACTATATATTTTTTCTGGAGGAGAGACATTCACGGGAAGAAGGAAAAAGCTGGTGCACCACCACCACCACCTCCTTCAGTCCCACCCATGTTGTAGTTTCTTCGTTCTTCTTTTTTTCTTCGAGTTGCCTTTGCACTCTGGCGAGGAGGTGATCTGAATCTCTGGGGTTGTGTTGTTGTTGTTTTTTTTGTGTGCGTGCCTCTCTCAGAGCCTCAGAGCCCATTTGGATGCGCTGAGAGAGCGGGGCGCAGCGCTGCAGTACAGTATATGGAAGTTGTGGGCTGCAAGACAGAGGCAGGCAGTTGCACGTTGCGTCCAGGACCGGGAGCCATGCTTTTCCACGGGATCTCCGGGGATCACATCCAAGGGATCATGGAGGAGATGGAGAGAAGGTCGAAAACGGAGTCGCGCCTGGCGAAGGGCATGCAGCTGAACGGGAGAGAGTCGGTAAGAGCCCCGGTTGAGTCGTGTTTGAATTCATGTTAAAACTCGTTTTTAACCGGCGTTAGTGCGTAAAAGTGTGGCGCCGTTAACCTGCAGGAAATGTGCAGTTGTTCTCGGGGTAAGTAGGACACCAGTGAGCAGGAATTATGTGTTTAATTATAATTACATATTATAAGTTAAATTTTAAAAACCAAAATCTCCTTTCTTTTGCATAGTTAATTCCATAATAATGATTAAAATGTCCTATTATATTAATAGCTGCTACCAAAAAAAAAATACTAAAAGCAAAAACTGGCTGCAACTTGTTAAATATATTTGAAACACACTCCTGTTGACGTCAAATAAAATATTGTACATTAGAGCAGAAATAGATTTAGCAATTTTAATTCTGGCAATTATATATTTATAAATAACTGATGCCAAAACATGGGGACTTATTAATATTATTTAACAGTTGAGTTTTATTCTTTTAACTGGAAATAATACTACATTTACTATATATTTTTAAACAGGCCTATATTCAGTATTTTAACTGTGTGTTTCTCACCAGAACTGTTACAGATAATTTTTGAATTTAATGTCTACGAATGAAGGGTATTTTAAAGTAATAAAATATTAGGTTAGCAATACGAATGTATTTCTGTCGTTTCTATATTTAGTTAATTTCAGATGTTAACACAGTTGTTTGATAGATGGTGTTTATTTCCTCATGGGGGCCAACAAACACCGAGCATTTGTTTAACAGCGTGTTTAAAGAGCTCCTCAAAAGGCCTTTACTTTATAGATTTAAAAAGTTTGATTTAGTGTCTAGAAAGCTACAAAAGGCCTGTTCCTGTTTTTGTATAATGTATATATATATATATTGCATGAGATTTCCCATCCAGTCTCTAGAAGGATAGTCGCCTTGAGCTTTCCTCTCCTGTCTCTGACGCAGACCATGCCTTCCATGAGCCCGGAGAAGCCTGCTCTGTGTGCCGGCTGTGGCGGCAAGATTTCGGATAGATACTACCTCCTGGCCGTGGACAAACAGTGGCACCTGCGGTGTCTCAAATGCTGTGAATGTAAACTAGCGCTGGAGTCGGAGCTAACGTGTTTTGCCAAGGATGGGAGTATCTATTGCAAAGAGGATTACTACAGGTAAGAAAAATTAAGGTTACACATTTATAGCCTTACAAAAGGAAAATATTTGTCTCCGTGTCACGCACACACGCACGCGCGTACACCCACGCAAAGCTGCTGGCTTTGTAGGAAAATTAATTTTAAACTCTTTTTGGGGAAAACAAAACACAGGCATTATTATGAACCTTAATTCAACAGGCTCCGGTTGCTCATCTGGAATAATGTTGAAGCTTTTTGCTCCAATTAGGCCTCATTCTTGTCTGAATAGAATCATAGCAGTCTCCCAGGGGCCCTGCATGCTGTTAATAGGGAATAAGTTATGATATGAAATTTTGACTTTTATTCGCCTGTGGTTGAGATGTAATAGTTTCCATGACTCTGGGTGTAATATAAAGTGCATGAGCTTGTATTAGTCAGCCCCAGAACAAAGGAGAGCATCGGTGTAGCCTACATTTGGAACATGTTTGTTAAAAAGTAACCTATATTAGTGGGTTGTATAGTGGCCTAACATGCCTGAGTATGGAAATAACACATTAAAATGATGTTATAGGTAAGGTATGTTAATAATATTTAACATGCATGCACAGGCCATGGTGATATTTATAATGCACGATAATAAGAAGATAACCAATTAGGCTGTCTCAACATTACCTGTAGCCTTTTTTGTTTAATGTTAGCCACACTGCCAATAGGTTATTAATAGTAGGTTTTATCACTGAGACTGTCGACTGAGTTTTTGCTTATTTAATAGGGAAAATATTCCCACATAAAAAATATTTTTACACCAAACAAAATGTGGCCTATTAACCAGCCGTCACCCAGTTGTAGGCCAGATGTGGCCATATTAAATCAGGATGTAAACCCAGTGTATGGGCCTGTTACACACTGAAGCTGTGTCAGATACACACACACACACTTCTGTCACTGAGATGCACGACACACACCTGGTCAGCTTATTTTAGCCCATGTCTTTGTGTTTGTCCCATTTGGTCTCTATGTATGAGGAGTCTTGACGATTTGTCTGTTCCAGAAGGTTCTCAGTGCAGAGGTGCGCGCGCTGCCACCTCGGGATATCGGCCTCGGAGATGGTGATGCGGGCGCGCGACTCCGTGTACCACCTGAGCTGCTTCACGTGCACCACTTGCAACAAGACGCTGACCACTGGCGACCACTTCGGCATGAAGGACAGCCTGGTGTACTGCCGGCTCCACTTCGAGACGCTGGTGCAGGGACCGGACTACCACCAGCAGCTCAACTTCGCCGAGCTGGCGGCCAAGGGCGGCGGCCTCACCCTACCCTACTTCAACGGCACCGGGACGGCGCAGAAGGGAAGGCCGCGCAAGAGGAAGAGCCCGGCGATGGGGATAGATATACCCAGCTACAACACAGGTGAGACAGCGTGCTGCTTACAGAGAGGCCTCACACCCAGTCAAGGACACACAAACCACACACACATTAGAAAACCATTTGTAAATAGCCAGCTTGAGTTTTTTGTTTTTAGTTTTGGTGCAAAACGTAACCTTTAATAGTCTGCCTTATACACTTGAAGGGGCAGTGAAACCTACAGCTAAAACACACCGAGCTTTTTAATTAACTGCATTCTACACTAAACTATTCCTCATGTATGTTAAATCCTTGTGGAGCTCAATGAAACACCCTGGACCATAGTTTGGGAACATTTTACTGCATTGTGATTTATTCTCCACGAAAATCTACATGCTCCTCCAATTTAGCTGACCAAAGTGTCGTCGTATTAATTTAATTTTAATGTTTTAAAATAGGGCATTACAGATTATTAAAATGAAGTAAAAATCATTCACACATAAATAAGAAAATAAAATAATATATAATGAATGAAACAAAATGAATATTTGGGTAGATTTTCATTTTACGCAGAAGACGCAGGGTTCTCAGTCCAGACGGTTCCTTAACGCCCCATCTTTCACCTCACATTTCTGACAGGAATACATCCCTCCTGCAGGCTATGCTAATATAGGTGAGCATTGCCTGCGCGTAACGGCGCACGCAGCCCTGGGCTAATTGATCCGCAGCTTTCTGTCCACGCGTCTCCAACGCATCGTGTTTGCGCTTTAAACTGTGGCGTGTGTTGCGCGGAGAGTGATCGAAATTTGACCTCGCCGTTAACGTGCACATCGAGTTTTATAATTAACACTAGATTAGTATAGGTCAAAATAAATGTGTGGAATGGGTGTGAATGGGGGGCATGAAGTTCGGGAGTGTTGCGTAAAAAGCGTGGCCAAAATCACTGATTTGACTTTGACTTTTGTTGGAAGACAACAAATCTGTAATCACAGTCAACACTGAGCAACTGTTAAATGTAGATTTCATCTAAAATCTTGCATTGACTCGCTGAATGTTGGAACCCGACCCCCACCACCCCCCTGCAGCGTCCCCATTTTGTTGTCGCTTTCTGCGAATTAGTGCGCGCTTGAGAAAGTTTGTCATTGTGCGCCAAGTTTCCTCTGTTCCCGGTGAATAGGGAGGAATAAGGGTAATCTGCGCGTTAATTGTTCTCCGTTAATTGAAGGTGACGTTGGAATCCATGGCCTCCTGCGCGGCGGTCAGCACAGTTCTCAGGGACACAGCAGCGCCGTGCAGAGGGGCCTGCTGCAGGGAGAGGCCCCTGGCTCCAAACACACACAACACTGTACAGTCAGCGCTGCGGCTGAATTGGCTTTGGTTTGTTATTCGTAAACATAATTCCAAGAGATTATGCAAATCCTAAAGTTCTCATGGATGCCTTAATAGGAAAATAACTGTAGTAGCACTGTGATTTTTTTTCTTTAATAGCAGGATACTGCAACAAAGTGTTAAAATAAAAATATGAAATATAAAATATAATGCAGCCACAACAGATAAAAAAAAATCACACAAAAGAAAATCCCACAGAGAAAGACATAAAATATTGTAAGATGTCCCTGTGAGCTCATTATTAAGCAGCACAGACACAGTAAAGGTCCCAGTGGGAATATTATATTTTTCATTTGGGATATTTAAATAGAATAGAAAAGAACGAAGTAGAATAGAATAATGCTCTGATTTAAAAAGAGGCTTACTGGCTTCTTTAGGCTTAAGTGACACACCTCTTTTGGCCGTTTTGGAAATGTAAACGTGCTAATATTATATTACAAATTTAAGACCTTATAACATTCAAATTTAAACTAAAATAATTTAACAAAAAAATTTAATTAAATTAGGGAACAACCTAAAGATTTTCATATTTTCATTTTTCCCAAAGTGCTCTATTTGCTGCCTTGCTCAGGGTTAATGCATCACTCTGCACATCAGGAGCCTCAATATTCATGACAAATAGGATGAGGTTTTGTTTGAGGTTTTGTTTCTGCTTTAGCGAGCACATTCATGTTTGTTTTCACCAGGGAAAGGTGTGGGTCTACTGAGTATTCCACACCACTCTGTAAAGTTTGGTTTTGTTTGGATATAGAGACCCCTAGTGGGTAATATCTAGTGAAACACAACCCAATGAAGGCTTGAACAGAAGAACATAGATGTCAGTGATTGTCATGTTAAAGGTTCAAATAAGTGTCACAAGAAAAAATCTGATATTGAAATAAAAAACATAATTCACGACATAACACATTATGCCACACATATAAAATCCTATAGTGTGATGAAGCTGTTTCTGCCTTATTTAAACTGATTTGTAATTTAACTCAATAATTAATTTCAGAGAAAGTGTTTGCACTGCATCCTTATGATGAAATGATGGTGTAAGCTATTTGATATTTTATCATCCACTGAGCAAAACAACGGGTCAGCATTTCGGTTACAAGGAGACAAGAAATCAATATAAGCTACTATATAATTTAGAAATCCTATGCTCCTTCTTTGGTGCCCAGACTTCCTCTCCTTTTGCACCAAAGCAAGAGATGAGATCTTAATAAATACTAGACTCTATAAAAAATATAAATAAACAATTGATCATCATTTTGATTGCAGTCATGTAAATGCTCAACCATCAGTCACAAGCTAATTTAACCTGCAAGTATTTATTTGGCATTGGAATTTTCTCTGTCCTCACACTATAAAAGTATACAAACATGTTATTTACAATGCAATATGATACTGAAAGAAAGTGTTTAGATTTTTTTTTCTTAATGCACTGATGAATGTTTCAGCAGCACTGTAATTTAATTTAGTGGATACGTTTTAATATTTCATCGTCTTTAAGTATTTTACACATACAGTACAAAGCAACTGACAAATGGGGCTCATTAGGACTATTAGTCTCTGCAAACACAAGCAGAAATCATTTAGCCTGGTCCCAGCGCATGCTTAAAATACATCATTTTGCTTTATAAAAAATATATCTAAAAGCAGACTGTGTAAAAACCACAATAGTCCCAATGTCTAATGCGTTACAGTAATTTTAGTTCAGTAAGTGTAATGAGTTTCTTGACTGTCAGTTGTCTGCATATTCTAATTTACTGTTATAAATATGCCAAACCTTTATTATTTAACATAATGCCAAATGATAGATCTGTTAAATAGCAAGTCAGTGGGAATACAAGAACTTTCTACAATCAAATCCACATGTGATAGTGTAAATCTGCTTAATTGTGTATTTTCTTTCCCTGCAAATCTGGACCATGTCACAAAATATTCAGTTTAATAATGAGCCTTAAAACCTGTGTAACACTTTAGTAACACAATTAGTGACCATTGCAAAAAATCATATTCAAGCAGTTTTCTGATTTGAATATCATCTTAATACTAGAGGAGTGATTTTCTTTATTACCACTGACTTGTCACTTCTTTGTCAATTGATGAGCACAGTGAAAATTAATTCAGACACAATGAATTTAAAGGTTTTAGAAACCCAAATGAAAATGTTTTGCAGTTGTTTCCTTTGGACTGTAATGTACCCTCTGTGCTCCCAGGCTGTAATGAGAACGACACCGATCACTTGGACCGGGACCAGCAGGCCTACGCTCCAACACAGAAGACCAAACGCATGCGGACCTCCTTCAAGCACCATCAGCTGCGGACAATGAAATCCTACTTTGCCATCAACCACAACCCAGATGCCAAGGACTTAAAGCAGCTGGCCCAGAAAACAGGCCTCACTAAGAGAGTTCTACAGGTAAGCAGAAAGTCATTCTTCTTACTGATCTGATTACCCCCACATCTGTGTCTGCACCCCCACTCCTCCTCCATGTCCCTCTCATTTCACACCAATATTATCATTGAAGTCATCTTTTTGATTTGTTTGTTTGTTTGGTCCATTTAGTCATTAGATGTATATCCAGGGGTTTTTATTAGAAATCTTGCAGATTCCTAAATGTTTTGTTTGTTTTGGGAAAGAGAGGAGAAAAGTCGTTCATAAGCGTAGAAGCTTAAGTGTAAAACTGCAGCTGATATTATTAATAATGGGAGTGCACATGTTCTTTTTTATCTGTGAAACAGACAAGGGTGTAATTCAGCTCTCACAGATAAAAAATTAAAAGGATAGGATTATTGTTTTGATTTTGCTATTAAAATCCACATTCTTGCATTCAGTGTTCAGGAGCTAACTGGTTCATTGTTATCTGCCCCTTAAGATCAAAATAATGTGACAATTGCCATATCAAGATTTATATTCACAAGGCAAGGGCAAGTGGATACAGTAATAGCTGTGGTAACTTGATATGTAAACGACTGTACAAATGATTTGATACTTTCTTTTTTAAAAATTAATCTTAAACACAAAAAGTAAAAGCCACACTGGGATTGGTTTGCAGGTTTGGTTCCAAAACGCAAGAGCCAAATTCAGAAGGAACGTTTTGCGACAGGAGAATGGAGGTGTTGATAAGGCTGATGGCACCTCACTCCCTCCACCCTCATCTGACAGTGGGGCCCTGACCCCCCCCTCCAGCGCGGCCACACTAACAGACCTGACAAACCCCTCTATCACTGTAGTGACCTCCGTCACCTCTAGTTTGGACAGCCATGATTCGGGGAGCCCTTCGCAAACTACCTTGACAAACCTTTTCTAACAAGCTATCCCTAGCAGACTGATTTTTTTTTTATCTGATTTTATTATGTTTTTTTTTTTTTTTTTTTTTTTTTTTTTTTTTTTTTTTTTTTTTTTTTTTTTTTTAATTTTTATTTTTATTTTATTTCTTCAATTTGCATTTTATTTTTTTAAGTGACACCTTTAAATCTACCAGAGACAGCTCCCTGGAACAGAAAGTGCTGTACTGTGTACACAAACAAGAACAACAAGAGCAAGAACAGCAGCGACCACATTAAAACACAAGGAAATCATTTTAATGTGTAGCATTTGAAACCGCATGGCAGCCGTGTCTGTAATCGACTTACAGTATGCTGAGATTGATTTTGGACAGGATATTTTTGAAGCTGACGGCATTAGAAAATTGTCATGGATCCCACAATTCATCGGAAAAAACCCAACAACTTAACTTGAAGCTTGTCTGGAAACCTAGATTTTGACTTGATTTGACTTTATTTGTACATTTGTATTGAATTATGATCAAATGAGCCCTTCCTAATTTATGCTTAATTGGTAAATTTTAAAATAATATGAATATTTTGCCCTCAGAAACCTGTATATGTATGCACTGTGTTCGCACTATCCAATTTAAAGATTTTTTTCTTTCTGTTTTGGAATCATTTGGGAAATAAACTTGTAGAATGTTCTGTATATGGGTAACTCCAGAAAACAGGCTTTAATTATTTCCGAATGTTTCAGTCTTTGAGACTGAGTTGGATGGAATCAGACATTGAGATATCTCACAGAGCTACATGTCTAAATTGCATAATAAGCACCTAACCATCGCTGCTTATACGGCAGGTAGATGCTGAAACCACACACATTTTTGTCTTGATTCGCAGACCTACTGTGATAAAGAGAAAGAAGCTAATTCCACAATCTGTACAGTGGTAACTGTTCAACATGTAATGCAGTCACATTGATAGAAATGGTTGGGTAATTAGAAATCAGCAGGAGAAATTTGGATTGGAGAACAGTTTATGCACGCTGTTGCAATCGATTGTTTTCTTGACAGAGCACTTTTTCAGATTTGTTGGCCTCATAGATTAACCATAGTCAAGTGGATGAATCCTAGGAAACATATCCATAGACCCACAGCTAAACCCAATTGCACAGTGACAATATACTGCCCAGTGAAAAGTGCATTATTGTTTTTATCATGTTGCTCAGGGTAACAATGTGATTTTAAAAAGGGAAAAGGAGTAAGGGGGGTGAGAAATTCAGTGGTTGCAACGTTGCAGACTAGATTTGTAGAGCTGACATGAACATTCAAATGACCTCAGATAGGTGGAGTCGTAAGAGGCAGCCAGTGGGAAATCATTGTCCATGTGTTCTCCTTTTTGGCCATATTTATACTTTCTTTAATGACACTTGCCACTGAACAGACCAAAAACATGTTTCTTCTGGCTGAAAGATAGAGAGAAAAGAAAGACAGAGCAAAATCTTCAATGGAGTTGATACATTTCATTGTGAGCGTCACAATTTGTTCTATTGTAGAACAAAGTGGTACTCTAGATCTACTTAATGAAGTAGATGCCTAACTCAGTTCTACTATGTGCCTTATGCTATAACTTGGGAGAAAGTTTGTGAAATTCAGGATATATGTGTTCTTTGTTAACTGATTCACATCCTTTTGACGCCTCACTAGTTTTGTACTGTTTTGCATCTTATTTCCGAAGATCTTTTTATGGTGTATCCTGTTAAAAAGGGGGCAGCGATGTCATAGAAAGCATTTGTGCACTCTTTCAGATATAGTTGGGTAATCCAAGAAACCTTATATATTGATCTTCGTGTTAATAGTTGAGTACAGTAAGTGTTCTATCAAGATTGTCCATGTTTCCCTGTTTCTTGATAAAGATGGTGTATAGAAACTATTTCCCCTTAAATATTTATGGACCAAACGGTTGTTATATATCTTATTAAATTTGTGTGAATAAAAAAATACTTTGCTTTAAATGGGTTTTATTTTTCATTACACTTGCCATTTTTTTGTGTTCTATCTTGAATACAGTTTTCGTTTTTTATCACATCAACAAACGAGAAAGCATTCAGTTCCTAATGACCAGTTTAAACGTCCTCATTTTTGCCTCCATTTTTAATTTCTATTTCCTATTTTATGATGTTTATGGTTTTTAACGTAATGCCCCATGGATTTGCATCTAAACCCTGCAGTCAAAAATATGAAGTTGCTTTTTAATGCATGAACATGGCTTTAAAATTTAAATCAGAGGAATGCTGCAAAGCATATATTGATATCTATCTCTATACATATATAGTATATATTTATGCATAACATATTGGTAAACCTAAAATGAAGTAAGAGTAAATGCAGACCTCGTAAAGCCAGGTTGCTCTGTAGTTAATATATTCTTACTCTATCATTTCTTTCAGGGAGAACAAATCTTGGGGCATTACAGCCATACATCCCGACGTTTGAAAATTCCCTAAAGTATTAACAGAAGGGGAAAACTTTGATGGGAATTCCTCACCATTGAAGACAAAGACAATATTAGGATAAGATGATAGCATATTGAGAACAAATAAACAACCAACATAAAACCTGTTTTAGTTGCAAATGTACAACAGACGATTTTTTAAATCAAAAGTTTGTCCTGAATGTTTGAATCCATCAACGGAGGAGACCCCACAATGTATGATATTTATGATATCAATGTGAAAAAAAAATCTGTATTGGAATGGTAAATGCACAAAACTGATGATAAAATGTATTGTAACATAGTAAAACAAAAAAAACAAAAAACTCACAGAAAGGCACAGGATGTGATTAAAAGACAGCAGGCATCCAACATGACAACAGTGTGAAACACAGACGGTATGGATGTTATTGGTACGAACACACACACACGCACACACACACTAGACACAACCTTTCTCCCACTGCCTTGCTCCTATGTAAGCACAATATACACATTCCCACAATCTTTGTTCTCCAACACACACACACACACACACACACACACACACACACACACACACACACTGTTACACACACACAGACACACGAATGCACACACGCTGCTGCCCCCATGCACCCCACCCAAGAATCAGCTTGCTAAATAGAAGTTTTCTTTTGTCACAAGTGTCATTTCGTAAACACATGGCCTCCTTGAAACTCGGCAGCAGGATGCCCATCAAATATGATGAGTGTATGAAGAGGACTGCAGAGCTGGAGCTTTGCCATCTGGCTGTACCGAGGGAAGGAAGTGAAAAAAACAAAGCAGATAAAGAAGAGATTCTCATTTTGCATGCGCCTCATCATCTTGTTAACATTTTCCTTGAGATGTATATTATTTCCTTTGATTCATTGTATGATTCATTGTCAGCTGCAAAATAAAGCGTATGAAAATGATGTCCCTGATGCCCATATAGTACCTCACGGTGGAAAAACACTCCTATAGATTATACTACAGCTGCCATTTTTTTTACTATTTATGGTATAAAACAATGCTTTTCAGTTCTATTTCACTCAAATTTAAAGTACAGTCACATTTGCACACAAACATGTGTTTGTAATAAAGGCTAAAAACAGTCAAGCAACGTTCTATTGGCCAGTTTGATTAACGCTGCAAAAGATGGACGACGTAATAAACTGTGCCATAGACAAAAACATGATTGCTTGACTTAGTTTGGCAGTCTCATTACTTAGTATGAGTGCTGGGTATGTAATGTAAAGAAGGTGTGCTGTGGAAAGAGAAAAAAGCAAAAGAAAGAAAGAGACTGAAGCCACATGGGGACCAGTAAACAGGCTGGTGTTGAATTCCAACAATGTGGGAAATAGCAAACACTTCAGTCAGTCCAAGAGGAAACCTCAGTCGCTGGGGTGCCTGTGCGCTGTGGCAGCAGGGCCCTGTGTTCCCCAGGTCTGATGGGAGGACGGTGGGCGGGTTGACACCACAGAGCTACAGGAAGCAGGGGCTGGAGCAGAAAACACAAACAAACACAGCCAGCCCCGCTCAGTTTTTGGAGCTGCGAGATGAAAATTCTGGACAACGTCATGGCCCTGTGTTGACAAGAATTTCAGGGGTTTGCTGCGGGGCTGCTGGTGACTGGAATGCATCTTATCGGTAACATTTGTGTGTGTGTGTGTGTGTGTGTGTGTGTATGCAATGCCTGATCAGCCACCTTCTTGCCAATAGGACTGCTTCAACTGATTCCAGGTATGTTTCTTTATTTCCAAAAATATACGGAAGAACAGAAAGATTAAAAAAAAAATACATCCCCTTGTGACTATATTACATTTAAGCATTTGCGCACCACATGTCTCTTTGGTCCTTTAAAGTGGAAATAGACATGTTTTTTTGCTTTAACTTATCATGATGAAGTAAATGCTGATTGCACAATAGTATGGCAATAGAATAATGACATCATCAGCGTATAGATCGGTTCTCTATGAGCCTTTCTTTTGCCATGCAATTCTGTCTGCAAGCAGGTACGATCTCCTGGGAAAATGACGATGTGATTATGACACAAAGGAAGTGTGTCAGCCATTGTGTAGCCATAACTAGAAGAGTTTAGCACTGTTGTTTTCCCTGGTAGCTATCGGTAGCTAGCCCAAGTCTTCATAAGTGTAGATTTCGGGTTGTTTAATAGTTATAACGTGCATTTGTTGCCTGTAATAAAAACATAAAGGTAGCAGAATACTTTTATTTTGAGAAAATTAAAGACATTATATCATAAATTAAATCAGAAAATGCACAAATTGGTGCTTAAGAATTCACCAACATGAAGAAAATTGAATGCATGATGCTCAAAATTTCCTGGCAATGGATTCCCAAACCATCTATTTCAGTGTTAAAACAATCCTACACCCTTGCAAGTTGTCAACGTGTGTGAATGTAAGTTACCTGCAATTGCAATGGTGAAAATGAACTGTTTTAGTTGTTAGGTTCTGAGGGAAACAGACAGCAATCTGGTCAAACGTGGTCTCTTTCCACTTTAATTTACTGTAAAAACCACAACGAATAATGAAATACATCTAATTTCAACCCGTGACCCTTACTGTTGCATTAATCTCAGTGTCAGAGGATAAATACGGCGTTGTCTGTCTGCGCAGAGACCTCAACAGGTAAGAAAGGAGGGCTTCTGCCAGCTGACATCCTCCTCCACCTCTCTTATCTCCTCCCCTTGTTAAATGACAGCCTCTGTGTACTATGACTCTACAAAAACAATGCTGACAGGGATCTATGTTCTCTGTCAAACAAGCAGCTTGTTCATGAAGCTCGGGTGACTCTGATGTATGTGACACTTAAAAAATAAAGAGAAAGATCAAAATGCTCAAACATACTAGTTTAAAGCTGCCTGTATAACTAAAAATATACACTACTGCATTCATGGACAGCAGGTTTTTTGTTTAATTCAACTCACTGACAGCTGGTGTGGAAAAGGTAAACACACACACACACACACACACACACACACACACATCAGTATTTTATATGTACCAGCAAGGACCAAGTAAATTACACTTACAATGGGTTCATGCCAGTTCATCAGGGTTTTAAAACCTGCTCAAACCTGTGACATTTGCCACTGAGGCCTGTCTGTTTGGTCAGCTCTGCCTGAAAAAGAGTGTTACATATAAAGGTCAAACTACAAGGACAAACACTTTACTCTGCCTGTCATCACAAACAAATATTAGGGGAAATCTCCAGTGTCCATTAATCATGTTGACATCAGATCACATCACCGTGTGACAGCCATATAAAACAAACTAATAACACAATCACATCGTCTGGTGTCCAACATGTTGTAGGTATCAAAGCTCTTCTCAGTATGCACGAGGTTGCAGCTGATGAACTGAATCTGGGTGATATTTTCAGCACAGTAATACTCACTGCGGTTAGCAACACCTGTAATTCACACTACCTTTTTTATGGAGAATGAATTCCCCGCTGTGGTCGGTGTACTCCAGGAAAGTGTGTCTCAGCAGGCACACACACAAACACACGGTCACACAGACATTACCACACATTATACACACACACAGTGACAGGCGACAGCGTCGAAACAAAGTATGGGATGATCACTGAGGCATAGGCCACACCTGCAGTTTACATACTGCTCTGATGGTGTTGTTTCTATTGTCACTGCTTGTGTGAGTGCACGTATATGTGTGTGTGAATGTGTGTGTGATATTCTGCCAGTTCCGCCTCAGTTCCCTCCTCTCATTGCTAGGCGCCTATTTAACCTCACCTCACACACCAACCACCCTGCTAACACAGATACACACCGGCACTGGGACACACACAAACACCGACGCACACGGGCAGATGTCAGAGGGGTGACGATGTGAATGAGACGCAGCTAAACTGCAGTGTGTGTGTGTGCGTGTGTATTTTCTGTTTGTGTGTGCGAGTGTGAGGCTGAGGCCTGCCCTGCTGGTTGATGCAGAGCAGGTGGAGAGATCCTCTGTGCTGGGTGTTTGCCAAGAGAAGGAATACACTAACATATACACACGCAAGTGCACACACTGCACAGACACACAAAAACAAGCACTGAAAAACAGATTTTATAGAGTGATCTAGGCAGAAATAATATGCCAGTTTTGTCCTTCACATTACCAGACTACCTCTCCTGTGCCTCATTTGTGCACTGCTCTCCACACGCCATAAATCCTTTATTTCTTTGTTGTGCTGTTATTCTATATTTACAGGTATTTGTTATGTGACGGCTCACATCTAGACAACCTTGAAAATGCCGCGATCAAGGCTGATAAGTACGGGTTGCAATTGCACTTTGAAGACAAAACAACATTAATTAGTGTTTAAAATGGAAATGCAGGCGTCACATGCATGCTCCCTCCCAAGTTCGCCTGGGTATATGAAGAGAGAGACAACATTTCATACATATTTCCATCTGTAATCCCTTTCTCTTTCCCTCTGATAGCTGTGCTCTGTGAGGTACATAAACAGGAAGCTCATCTACATTGATACGGCATGTTTCAGTGTGTGACAGGTCATCTTTGTACTGGTGGAGTGTAACCTCTCAGTTCTTGCTAAACCTTCAGGATGCACGCAGCTCCTCTCCCCTCCATCTGCTGGTCTCTATGAAGTCTGCACCGGATCACAGGAGCTTTGACTGCAGCTTCTGTCTCTACCACATTGCAGTCATACCTAACCCCTGAGCCAGATCAACAACACAGAGGGAAATAAAAAAGACATGAGTGAAAACATCAACATTTTTTTTTTCTTTTTAAGTGTTTAAAATGTGCTCTCAGCCCCTGGGTGCAAAATATCTGCATATTTAGCAATGGGAAACACAGGGAGAATTGCACTGAAATGTGTATGTTGAAGAAAACAAAAACAGGACTAGTGTGCATGTGCTGTAAAACTACAGGTGTTGTTCACAGTATACCAATAAGTGGTGTTTTGTATCACTGCAATACACACTTAGCCCTTTTCCTCTGTATTTAACAAAGGTCAATTTTGGCCCAAAGCGCTTCTAGATGTCCTCTCATGGTGTTCATATTCATAAGCAAAACACATTAGTGGCCATATTCTCGTAAATTCAGCTTAATTGTCATCAGATTACATTTGTAGACAATTTTTGCTGGCAAAAAGGCCCATAACATGAGGACGGGTTTGTTCTAACACATCTGAGTTAAATGTCACGCTTACAGTAAAATGTCTAAAGCGTCTCTATAAATCCAGCGATTCAACCTTCTTCATTTCCCCTGGAGGGAGAACCTTTTCCATCCTGGTTACCTGCAAGCGACACCAGAAAGTTTGAAGGGGAAGAGAGCGAAATAGATGACAATACTCGCTTCATGCTAAAAAAAAATATCCCTGAATCAAAAGGAAATCCTTTCTTTTAAATAAACAATATCAGCAAAAAAAGAGAACACAAAAAGTTTGCTATTGGTTTAAAGCACCAGATCAGTGCAGAGAGCCACTTTTAGAACAATGGAAATTCAACACGATTATTAAACAGTTTTCTACCAAACAGACGTGGAGGCATGCGTGTTGAACTAGAGGATCTCTGGGTGCAGCTCCCCTCGCAGACTGATGCATTACTTTTCATCCATCCATCTAATTATTCCCTCAGAAACCTGAAATTTGAAGATACAAAAGACCGTCCCTATCTGTCACTGAGCGCCATTGATCTTATTGAAAGAAAATGTGGGTGTAGAGGAAACCCAATATAACTCATGCCATTAAATTCCACACAGCATTATTCACATACAGAATTGACAGATTTCTGTGAGACGTTTCTTTTAATCTTCAACTGTTGTTGAAGAAAAAGGGGGAAAAATCCTACACTCCAGGCATCTCTGCCTTTTCCATATTTGCAGTGAGGTTAACAAAAAAGGCTATTGAAGTATAGCAGAAAAAACACAACCCCACCTTACTT